GCTCAAGTCAAGACAATGAAGACTTTTACCATAAGCTTGCAAATATATCACGCTCGTCCACCCAAGAATCAATATGAATACACAAGATCGAAGGGTTTAAATGGGTTGTAATGGGGCTTAGGTAAGGTGGGATAAAAGGACATATTAGGCTATGAGAATCAAAGCAATCATACAAACTCTTTACAAATGGAGCACATCCCAAAAGAAATTTTGACTGCCTAACTTCATAAAAGGAATCTAACGTAAAGAAAAAAATAGCGCAATTCTCTTCATCGTCATTCTCCCCAACTTTTTTTTTTTTTTGAGTTTTTTTTTATTTTTCATTTTTTTTATGAGTTTTTCGACTTTTTTTTTCGGAGAGAAGACAATAACTAGTAGATGTTAGATAACTAGACCTCGAACAAACCACAGTCAAGTCTACGCACATAAGCTCATCATGAATACAAAGAATTCATATAATTGCTTCAACTCAAGGTTCAAAGAGGGCATCAACGAAAAAGGATATAGTGGCTAGTAACGTGGCTAATCGAAAGAAAAGGTTAAGAGGCTCAAACTTGGCTCACTAGGTGTCTATGTAAAGGTTCGGCTTCCAAGAAAAAAGATAAAACAAACGGCTAAAATCTTATACCCTTATTACGATATCGTGCATCCAAATTCATCAAAGGAGTAAACAAAGACGTGCATACCAAAGCAAGTTTTGGAAAAATCAACTAGTCATGACATACACAATCAAGGAAATGGAGCATGATATTCGATGTATGCTCATCGGCTCAAATCTCACAGAAAAAAACAAGATAAAACAAGGAAATAGAACTCGACATCCATCATTTTTTTATTTTTTTTTGAAAGTACGACCAACAATCCATTTATCAAGTGAAAGAATGCACCACTACAACTTCATGCCTCCAATGAATATACCGTTTATGCAATAATAATGCAATTATGAATGAAAAAAAAATGCATGTATGCAAAAACTCGTGTTACAACGATGATGCATCGTGGAAGTTGCAACACGATTCCTATTCTAATTCAAACAATGCAAAAACCGAGAGATTTCCTTAAATTAGAAAACCTCTCATAATCTAATGCCTTGGTGAACATATCGGCTAAATGATTCTCGGTCCCTATGTACTCAATGCAAAATATGTATTTCTCAACTAAATCCCAAATAAAGTGATGTCTTATATC